TTTTTGGCCGGAGGCATCGGAGTGGACAAGTGCTTAGCAAACTCGCCCAAGTTTGCATACTAAGCGTCGACCATGCCAATCCTCACTAATTGGTTGATCTCTAACTCTGTGCCAAAGCGAAACTGCTTCACTCACTCCGCAGAGAGCACCTCAGCCTTGCTCGACATAGAGACCCTCGTGGATAGTTTCTCATTCACCTCGAGCACAACTGAGAGCCACTCTAAGGCCCATGTCAGGTACTCCGCGTCAGCGAGGTGAGCCTCAGCTTCGTCTGCCAGCCAAGAAACGTTCTTGAGGCAATCTTTGCCTTCTTAATGCATGCGGTTTCAACCGTAATAACCAAGTACATGTTTGACAGATAATGAGCCGACCTTTCCCCAACAACCGATATCGGTTGACCCAGCGACACAATTCGAGAGGACTGAGCTGTCCAGTTTCTCCTTAAAACTCCCGGAGCACAGTGTATTCATGAGCTCCGTCGCATGAGCCTCCACTCCCGGACCACAGTCGAACCATCCCTTTGCAAGTCAATTAAGACAAAACTAGAATCCCTTGGGAAAAAGGCTTTGGGCCCCTTCGCTTGTATCGGGATTCAATCATTGCTCCCCTTGAGAGGCGAAGAGAGTGGCGATCAGCGTCGGCCACCGTGTCTTTTCATTTCCTCCATCAGGATTTCTCAGAAGCTGGGAGACTAGGCTTGGGCTCGGATCTAGGACCTACCTCATCTCGGTTGACTTCTGAACTTACTGTTGTCGCCTCTCGATCTGACTTTGATCTAGGGGGAGCATCGGCTCCGAGTCGAGTCTAGGCCCAAAACCTGTCTCCTTCCAATCTGCTTCTCGACTGGTATCTTGTTCACCCTAGGGTTTAAGGACCTGAGATTGTCGGCTCGCTTTTCCTCTCTTTACAAAGTTAAGGAAACCAGATGCATCGGACAGAGGATCCTCTTGGCCTCCGATTGATCCTTCATCTGGAGAAACATCAGTGTCAGACCTCAAAAAGGAAGGACTCTCGGTGTCACCGCCCCTCATATCACCTGCCAGAATGGAAGGTTTCCTTTCGATTAAGGTTAATTCACCGGTCAACGTCCGCTGAATAACGATAACTGTTTCAGAAGTAGAAATGAGAAGATCCGAACCTGAGGTCTTTTCTAATGCGTCTTCCTTCTCTGCTCCCTCATGAACACTTTAGTCATCTTGTTGAGGCGCCACTTCATCTCCTCGACATCAGATGCTGCCCACAACTCGCTAGTCATCCGACCATATTTGCCTGAATTCAAAACTTTGTTTATTATTTTTTCATTGGTGTATTGGATGAACGATAGATCAATTAACTGGATCCCTCAGTTTTGGGGGAAATTTTCTGCCATTTGTATGGCTTGCCAGTCGGGCAGGTAAGGATCCCTCAATCCATCGATGATGCCAAAATGAAGTGACTTTTTTCAGTTCTTAACCTTATTCTCAAGGTCAATTAACTTGATTTTTTGGGTCGAGGCAAAGATCACATAACTGTCTGGGTCGACCTGAAGGAGAACAAATGAGAAAAAAGCTCCCGTGAACAAGAGATTTCCATCCTACGAAAATAGATAACGAAGGACATAATCACCGCAATGCAGTTTGTCTTCAGTTGAGCAGGGATAATGCCGTAATAGTTCATGATGGCACAAAGCTCTCGACAAAGAGGACGGCGAAGCCCTTGAACAAACTGATCCCTGTATAACACGAGCCGCCTCCCATATTCATCGGTTGTATGATCATGTGGACATAGAGCCACAAGCACTATGTCATTGCTGTAGACGTACTTCCTGTAAAGTCTCGAGGCCTCGTCAGAAGACTCTATGGAATGCTTTGTCATCGAAACCATTCGAAAAATTTGAGGAGAGACTTTGGAGGCCATATGGATGGGAGACAAAGGAACAAGGAAGAAAAGCCGACCAAAAGTAAGGAGTGCAAAATATGAAACAACACGAGACAACCTCAACCCTTATATATAGGGGGCGCAAAGAAGCTGAAATGCCTTTGATAGTACCTCAGAAACACAAGCTTCACATCATTTCTTTCAAAGGGAGAATGAATATTCATATAAATAAGAAGCGGTAGTAAAAAAAAGAGTGGAAAAAGAAAAAAAAGGAAAAGCATGTTTATTCAAACATAAAAAACCTTATAACTGGTTCATTGACCGCTTGAGGAAAAACCAACACTCACCTCAACGACTCCTTAGGAATCGAGTGACTGAGCAAGCCTCCCTTACACCAACCAGACCTATCCGCGGGGTCACAGGCTCCATTTGAATAGTCTCGGTTTCGGTCTGGTGGTCTGTCGCTTCTATTCGGAGGTTGGGAAACTCTGCCGACAACTTCTTGGAGAAGGCATTTGGCTGGTCCTTCACCTCCCTTATGCTTGCCTTCCGTTGAGCTTAGGCTTCCTTCCGAACCTCGACCTCACAGGCAAAGAAATCCACCGTCTCGTCCATGCGACGAACCACAGAACCGGTCGACTCTCATTCACCAGTAGTCGGTGGGTCCCTTTCAACCTTTCGAGCAGTGGGGTCTCAGTCACCGACAGCTTTCAGTGAATCAGAAATGTTGATTTGATCCCCTACATGAACAAAGGCAGAGTTGGACAAAACATGAAATTTCACTAAATCATTCAGAGTAGATCAAAAGACCAGACTCCACATACCAAGGTGTCAGTCCAACACAGACCAGAGAAATGACAAGAAACTCTCATCGGGTGCGGGTGGAGCGTCCGCAACTCTCATCCTTCTGAGCTGAGAAGTACCAATAGCATCCTTGCCCCTGGGCAGCGGAACTCCAGAAGTTCTCTAAGTGTCCCTTTCCTCCTCACTTCTAGATTTGGCCAACATTCCAGCAGGGTAGATGGTCGGATCTTTACTCTATCCCCAATGCAACAATAGACGTAATCGGACGATTTATCCTCATCATCCCGCTCATCCGGTCACCCCTTCTTGTAAGCTAATTGTTCCATCCGCCTCTTCTTTGCAGGTCTAATCCCTTTGGGGGGTACCCTCTTCTCGCCAACTGGCCCCCTCTCAGGTGGCCAAATCTTTGCAGGGATGCTCGCAGATCAGATTTTCTCAGCCAACAATTCAAAGACTTTCATCAGAATGTCCTCATATATGTCATCAACACAGGTCTTCTTACTGCTCGTCATGAGAATGCTCCCATAAAAAACCGACCAAGGCACTAGATAAGAGGGGAGCGCAGATGCAGAAGGCCTGAGCCACAACCTATTTATAGGACGTCAATGCATAGAAATCTAGTGGGGTTCAATTATTAAAAGTACTGTTCACAAGATAAATGAGTATATTATAGCACTTATTCTCTTATTTTTACTCATAACAATCACTTTAAAAAAGACAAGATAATTAAGGAATTAAATATGTATGACACATTCATTTCAACACGAATATTGAAGCAAGTTAAGAGGTGTACACGTAACAAAGAGGAGGGGCCCACAGTCAGACATAAAGACCCGGTCAAAAAGAGTAAATTAATTTATGGGATCATAAATCAATGTTGGACCAGGATAAGGACGTTGTAAAGGTTCATCAGATCAGCCACATCTAAATATTGTCCGACCGATATAATAGGCCGAACATGACATGTTCAATCAGAAACACCCAGGCGATCCTCATCTCGTTTGACCCGCCAAACCGAAACGGCCAAAACTTATGTTCGACAATCAAGTTAGTCTATTGTCAAAGCGGTAAGCATTAATTGTAAGAAAAACTTTAATATCTCTGTACCCCTTCTTTAGAGGATGGGAATTAATGTGATTGTACATTTTAAATATCTCCAATGCCTATAAATAAGAAATTATTTTAGGAATAAAGGGTTACGTGTTCTCATTCTACTGTTCACTCCTCTCATTCTCCACCATACGCTTTATTCTTTGGTATATATTGTATTGTATTATATTGTCTTATATTTATATCTAATATATTTGATACAACGCTTTGACAAAGTAAAAATGCGATTTAAGTATGATTACTTATTTTTGTTATGATTTTGTTATTTTATTTAATGTTATTTGCTCTATGTTAATTAATATAGGGAGTAAGGAGAAGAATGTAATGATAGAAAAATATTTGGAAGATGCTAATGAGATAGAATCAGTTGGTGATAAAATGATTACATGCAATACTTTTTTTGAAGATGACGAAAGTGGGGATGAGTTCACTGTGGATCTTGGTCCTTATGGAGTATTTATATTCTAAGTGAATATTTATCTTAAATCTTATCTCAATTTTTTATTTTAATTCAACATTGAAGATTGAGATTTGTATCTTGTCATTATAATAATAAATTAAATCAATATATTGATTGTTTATCATTTTTACGAGTTGTTTCAAATCAATAAATTAAATAAATTTTTAGGCGTTTTGGTACTTCATTGTCAAGAGTAGCTGAAGTGACTCACGTTTTGGTTTCATGTTACTACCTTTTCTGAACAAAATAAGCAAAAAAGGATGACTTTTTGAGAAACTGCTATGAGTAGTATGATTTTGATGCTAATCAGGTTACCTAGTCCTGTTCAATCGTTATTAGAGGCACTGGTCAGTAGGAAGGTGGCAACGTGCTGTGTGTTCTATAAATGAAGGTTGAGTTCTTAAACTTCCTCAGAATTGAAGTTTCTTCTATGCTTTTCTAATCTCTAGCGTTGCTTCGAGGTTTAGTGCTGAACACTATCTAATTGCATGATGACAAAATAATGAGATTTCTAATAAATTCTTTATAGCTCATCAAATTTGAAAGAGATGCACAGTGGTGGAACTGAGGAGCACTCGCCTCTTCTAGATTTTTACTAAACTAGTTGTAAAAAATATAAAGAGAGTGAAAATTTAAACTTAAGCAGTCGTCACCCTTTTATTTTGATTTTGCCACCCCTTTTCTTCAGTTTTGGTTCTGCCAATTGACATATGTGCATTTTATTTCAACACATTCTAGATCTGTTCAATTTATATTTCAATAATGGCAGCAAGGAATGGCTAGTGGCTTGGACACTCTTTGTGGTCAAGCATATGGAGCACAACAGTACAAGAAGGTGGGAATCCACACCTACAGAGCCATCCTGTCACTCTTAATAGTCTGCCTCCCTATTTCTCTCATCTGGATCTTCATGGGGAAGCTTCTCACATTTGTCGGACAGGACCCTCTAATATCCCAAGAGGCAGGCAATTATGCGGTTTGGATGATCCCCGGCCTCTTCGCCTTTGCCATTGCTCAACCTCTTATGAAATTTCTTCAATCTCAGAGCTTAATTCTTCCCATGCTTCTGAGCTCTTTTGTAACCTTTTGCGTCCACTTTCCTTTGTGTTGGGCCATGGTGTTCAAGATAGGGCTGGGGAACATTGGGGCAGCACTTTCTATAAGCATTTCTTATTGGATCAACGTGTTGATTCTTGTAATGTATATTAAGTATTCAGATTCCTGCAGAGCAACTCGTGCACCAGTATCGATGGAGGCTTTCAGGGGAATTAATGAGTTTTTGAGACTGGCGATTCCCTCGGCAGTAATGATATGGTAATATTAATTACTACCTTTTCTTTCTCTTCATCTTGTTATTTAAGTGCAGTAGCATTGATATATGGATTTTTTCTTACAATTGGAAATACACAAAAAAAGGATTACTTGATTGAAGTTGAGTTTAATCATAATCTTTTCTTGACATTTTAAAATAGGGGCATTTCCATACATCACCACACAATTCTATTGTATTTACAAATCTAACTGGTAAACCTTTATATTTGCATACATAGAACTCAAATCTTTGTGAAGTATCTCTCACTTGTACGGCAGAATAACATGTAAAATATGATTATCATGATTTTGAAATTTAAAATTAGTCTCACCATTGTTTTCAAAAGATAATAGAAAGTGAAAGCTTGTTTGAACAATTCATGTGTACATCGGTATTTTATAGGCTGGAATTACATGCAATTTTTGCCAAAGGTTCATGCACTCATGTGATTGGGGGAATCTTTATGTATGGTTATTTTCTTAAATTATTTAACTGTAAATGCTTTTTTTTTTTAAATTTTTTATTATCACTTTTATAATTATAATAATTACTTGAGCAAAGCCTTGAATGGTGGTCCTTCGAGCTGCTCGTCTTGCTCTCAGGTCTCCTACCGAATCCGAAGCTTGAAACCTCTGTGCTCTCTATATGGTATGAAAAAGTTCATCATTCACAAGATTAGAGTTAAGATTAATTCTTCGTCTCCATGCGCTCATAAGCTCTTATGCAGTCTCACAAGCATTTCACTGCTCTACACCATACCATATGGTATCGGTTGCGCTGCAAGGTATGATCATTCCTAATCTCCTTTTTTCTCATAAATCGCCACTGAAAAATTGGAAGATTTACATGCTTACCTCTTAATTCCCATGTAGCTACGTATCTAGCACCAAAACTTCAATTTTTACATATATCCCAACATAACCATGTATCGTAATTTTTATTTCAGTACTTAGAATTTAAAAAACTTGTATTTTTAATGTGATATGAAAGATTTGGATGTTATAAATGTAAAAGTAGAGTTTAGTTGTTAGATATGTAAACACCTAGGAAATGGGTGGTATGCATGTGAATGCCCCCGAAAATATAAATTTGATTACTTTTGCGTTCATAGCACACGCGTGTCAAACGAACTAGGATCTGGGAATCCCGAGCAAGCTCATTTGGCCGTTCGTGTGGCGATATCGATCACGGTTATGGAGGCGGTGGCAGTGAGTTTAATGCTATTTGCCCTTCGCCGAATCATCGGCTATGCTTATAGCTATGAGGAAGAGGTTGTGGATTATGTTAGGGAGATGACTCCTCTTGTTTCTATCTCAGTTATTTCTGATGGCTGTCTCGGAGTTCTCTCTGGTAATCATCTTATTTTATTCCTCATTTCTTACGATGCTTCTAAATAGAAGCCTTACAACTCACTATTTTATGATGAACTTTTTGAACGGCAGGGATCGCTCGTGGTTGTGGATGGCAGCACATAGGAGCTTATGTAAACCTGGGAGCATTCTATCTCGTAGGAATCCCAATGGCGGTTTTGTTAGGCTTTTTACTTCACATTGGAGGTAAGGGTCTGTGGATTGGGATTTTGTCAGGTGCAGTGATTCAGAGCCTTCTTCTTGGAATAATAACAGCTTTTACTGATTGGCAACATCAGGTATGTTAATTACTCTGGAGGAAGCTTTGCATACATACCACTTAATTCCAAATGTTTTTACACGTCTAACACCGAAACTTCAACTTTCACATATTTGCCATCTTATCCATGCATAGAAAGGTGTATAAAAAGCTGAAATAGTGATATGAAAGATTTGGGCGGTGTAAATGTTAAAAGATAAAGTTTAGGCGTTAGATATGTGAATGCATAGGAATTGGGTGGTATATGTGTAAAGGCGCGTTAATTTATATTGCCATGCTTAATCTGCTCATTTTGATGAGTTTTTTTATATTTTTATGGTTGATCTTGCAGGCAGTGGTGGCTAGAGAGAGGGCATTTGAAGAGAGACTGCCATTGCAAGATGAACTGAAATGAGTTTTAAATTTCTGCGTTTTATTGGATTATTATTATTTTCCTTTCACTACTGCTTCAACATAGGAAATTTTGGAAGAACTCTTAGTCTTCATTTAACATTTGATCGGAGCTTATTTCAAATACATTAGATTTTTAGATACTACATTAACAATTGTAAGAATCGATCGAATCAAAAATTGATCAAAGTATTCTAATCCAAAATTTTTTAAAATTTTGTGGCTGGAAACAATGAGAAAATATTTCGTCCGGACACTGCATATCCGAACGGTCAATCACAAGGCACCACGTCGTCATACTCCTCATCGGCGGGCGGGGGGGGAGCCCGCGACGTGGCACCCGGTGGTTGGCCGTGCGGACGTTCGGACGGAATATTTTCTTCAAAAACCACAAACCACGAGTGGCATAAGCAAATGTTTCCTGGATTTTGGAATTATTTACACATGCAGGTTGAAGGGCGGCGTTAGTGCCATTTCTTTCATTGTTAGTTAAAATTGAAAATTAGGGTTTTTTATTTTTTTAAATTGAAGCTGAACCAAAAGGGAGTTATATCATGGTTTTGTTCAGTGTTTAAAAAATGTTCTCAGGTGTTCCGTTGTGAGGTGGAATTTGGAAAATATACCTTTTTATGCCCAACAGAAAGTAAAATCTTAGTATTATGAAACTGAAACGTGATTTGTGGCTTTGTGCAATCTTGAAATTGACTGGAAGTAAGGTTAAATAACTGTTTGTTGGATCTGTTTAAAATATTTTTAATTTAATTTTAATATGGATATCATGGGATCAAATTTCAATTTTATGTTCTCTATTAATGTAAGGTTGTCATACATTCTAGAGGGCTTTTATGCAGTATACTTCATATAAAATGTTGTGGAAAAATCTATATGAAACTATATGGTATTACTAATATTTGACGCATTTGAATTGGAAAGAAATATTAGGTCAAGACTCCGTACAAGTGGGACACATAAATTTTAACACTGATTAAACTTAATGTATTGCGGTGGGCTTGCTTGCACGTGGCGTTCTACCGTTGGGCTCCAGATGCTGCAAATTGTGTCCGGAGTCTGGATTTAGTATTTGATCTTTGAATAGAGGGCTTCTATGCTATAAGTTGACTAGATTACATCTTGATTACGGGGTGTAAATGATTCATTCTGAGTTTGAGCTATCCCTGATTTACCACTTGAGTTTGATTAATTAAGAGTTAGAGTTTGAGTTTAATTTGAATTGTTTGAGTTGGCTCGTTTTATTATGAAAGTAAAAGTGATTTTAATTCAAGTCTGTCAAAAATAATAAGTTGCTTGATATATGAGTGTGAAATATAAAATTTTGAGGATTTACATAAATACCACTAAATTCTAGTGTATTTAAATTTACAATCACTAAGCTTTAATTTTCACATATCGGCTTATTCATGAATAAGGTATATCACACTTTTAGAAGTTAAAATAATAATATTTTTTATATGATATGAAACGTATGAATGTAAAAAAAATTGTTAGATATGTAAATATAAAGGAATTGGGTGGTATGTATTTAAATGTTGTAAATTTAAAATATATTTAATAATTTAATATAGGTAATGATTGGGGTCGGAATTAATTGATTAACACATTGAGTTTAACGCATTAATTATTTATCGGGCAGGTTTATGGGTCAGCTCGAATCACTTGCAGCTAGCTCTCAGCACGATGATGTTCTTGAGTTTGAAAATGGCTGTAGAAAATATTAGTTATATAATATGTTTCTTTATTTTTCAAAGCTATCAAGAGCATTTTCTGTTCAATGTGGTCATTATCAAAGTCTGAATCATTATGTTTAGCATCATTTAGAAAAGCGACGAAGTACTATGGTTGAACCTTGCTAGCCAAATTAAATAGCAGAAAATAAAAATTTATTTTAGCTCAAAACATAATCTTTTAGTAAGTTTAATAAATTTAAGTAGAAAAATATTAATAAATCAAAACAGAAATTTAGTAATACAGAAGATGACTTACAGGACTCCAAGCTTATGAGGAACACCAGACGAACAATTCTGTTTTTTAGTGAGAAGACTCTAAAAACTTGCACACAATAAAAAAATATAAATCCCTTATTTATAGCTGAGGGTAGAATTGGAACTCTTACAATACAACTTAATAAAAGATAACACATCAATCTGATGTGACATAAAGTAAGAATAATTGCAAACACTATTACATTAACCGATATTATTACAACCACTATTTCAACAATCAATATTATTTCAACCACCAGAATTAGTGCTCATAATGTTCATCTGAAATGACTCCAAGCTCTGCTGCCGGTTCTAACTCATCCTCTGTACCAGGTGGGCTAGAAGAGGTTTCCTTCATGCATGGCTCATAAATCTTTCCCGCAAGAATTGGGGTAAGTAGACCTGTTGCTTCTTTCTGTCGTCTTCTTTCTTCTCGTAGAAAGGCTCTATGTTTGTGTCGGTTGGCATTGTGACGTTGAGTTCTTCTGAGCGGTGCATCCGACATTCTCTCTTCATCGACACCTACTAAATCCCCTGTCGGAGCAGTTATCAGGGACTGTAGACGATTGGTTCCTTCAATTGGATGTTGTTGTTGAGTGATCACTTTCTTCCTCTTCCATGAGGAGTCTTCTCTGTTGCCCATCTTTAGCAGAGACGGTAATCCCTCCTTCTCCTGGTGACTGACAACGCCCATTTGGCGATTCTCATAGTCTACGCTGACTTGACTGAAGTCTAAGTCAAGGTCTATGACACCACCCTGAGCTGCCCTTTCTTTGTTCAGTGTGAGATTTAGGCCATCTCTAAAAGCGATGATCAGCTTTCGTCCCGACATCCTTCTGCAAAGGGCAAAAAAACAGTAGTGTGTTGTCATTCAACATGAACAAGAACAAGAACGAAGCATTTATTAAACAACAATTTTTTTATATAATCTACAAATTTAATCTGTTTAATTTAATTTAATTTAATTAGATTTTAAAATTAGAAACAGAAGAAGGGAAACAAAATGGGCAAATTCCAAAATTTTCATTTTATTGAGGTTAATTTGTTACAAAACTTTGGACCCACTTACACATGTTTGGCCAAATGAATAACCCCAAAACAATCAAAATTTCAAAAAGCTGTCGATTTCAAGCAGCGTCACGTCGGGTAGTATATCTTCAAGTAGCAACCATTGACCAGCAGCATGGGTCTCTCGCCTTGGAAATCCACCAGCCGGTAAGCTCCTCCCGAGTAAACTTCCTCTATGATGAATGATCACTCCCAAGTTAGTTCAAATTTTTCACCTATTTTGCGATGTGCAAGAATATGTCTTTTAAGAACAAGAACAAGGTCACCAACTTTGAAAGCCCTCGGGCGGCTCAATTTGTCATGAGTCTGCACCATCCTTTCTAAGTAGAGCTCCAAGTACTGTTGTGCTTCTAGTTTTTTTTCCTCGAGAATTTTCAGTTCTTCAAGTCTGAGTTTTGCACTTTCTTCAGTTGTAATTTGATTGGTGACAGGGCCTGTGAGAGGCAGTGTCTGAACTTCTAGCGGTAGTACGACCTCGGACCCGTACACAAGCTCGTAGGGTGTACATTGAGTGGGAGTTTTGAACATCGTCCGGTAGGCCCACAAAGCTTCTAATAGTTTATTATGCCAATCTCTTTTGTTTTCGTCTAGTGTCTTCTTTAGAATCTGTACGAGCATTTTGTTGAAAGCCTCAGACCTCGGCCAGTCCGTTTGCCTTGGGATAGTAGATTGTTGCGTACCTCTAATCTATCCATGTCGTTTAACAAAATTGTTGATATTTGTGCTTTTGAAGGCTGTCTCATTGTCGAAAATCACTCTACGTGGAACACCAAAAAGATAGACGACTTGACTTTTGAAAAATTGAAGGGCGTGTTGTGTCGTAACCTTTCGTAACGGCACTGCTTCTGCCAACTTGGAGAAGTAATTTGTAGTGGCAAGAATTAATCTATGTCCCTTAGAGGATGGAGGGTCTATCGGACCTATTTTGTTCGTGCCCCAACACTCGAATGGCCACGAGACAACAATTGGGTGTAGCACATTCGGAGGTTGGTGTAAGACTAACTGATGTACTTGGCAAATGTGACACCTTCTTGCTATATTCATGCAATCGAATATCATTACCGACCAATAATACCCGAGTCTTTTGATCCTCATCTTCATCTTTGGCACTTACTGGTGAGCATCGCACAGTCCGTCATGTACTTCTTTGATGATATTTTATGCTTCTGCTCTGCTGTTGACCACTTTTGATTGAAGTTTAGTTTTTCCTCTTTAGTAGCCTAAGGTCAGCCATAGGACTTTCCTGTTGACTATTCCTAGAAAACTAGACAAGGAACCCTCACCATTAGAAATTCTACACTCTTCTTTAGTCAACTTACTTGCTCAACTTAAAGTTCCACATATTGGTCCTAACCTCTAGCACTTAGTAGGTAGGGTCAATATGGGGGAGCTCAAGGTGAGCTTCTAAAGGACTGCTTGCCCTTAGGGTTGACTCTGGGTGTTGATCTAGGGCTAAGGGACTCACTTTCACTCACTACATTCACTCTCACTCAAAATCACTCACAACCTTAAACCAAAATTTTCCTAACTTTGATTCTTTGATCATTTGGGAGACTCATGTAGATGGTCCCCTAAATCCACTAGCTCTAGGTTAGGGTTTAGTTAAGACCAGTACATAAAGGACCCAAATGGGGATTCCATTGGTCCATAGCTCATGTAGGGTGGTTGATACCCCAACCTTACCAAAATACCCAATTTGACCTGTCACCCCCAAACCTACCCAAATTACCTAGATACCCTTGGAGCCTTAAATTTGGCCAAAATTTTCAAAATTCCCAAATCTACCCAAATTTCCTAGATACTCATCTTCATCTTTGGCCCTGACTGCAATCCTTCATGTACTTCTTTGACGATATTTTGTGCTTCTGCTCTGCTCAGACATCGCAGCCACATATGATCAAATGATCTCATTTAGAGAACATCTCCCACTAGGGCATATGACATAGCTCTTCTTGTGATGTGATTTTCTTGGGACGTATCTTCTGTCAACTTTTCACTATGCAAATATTCTATTAATGGCTTGCGTCAATCTTCGTTGATGTCAGCCACTGCAATCATCAATCCT